GCAGTCTGCTTATGTCAAAAAATCGTATAACACCTGTCAAAGGCTTGACTATACCAAGGCTAGAACTCCTTGCTGTTCTCATCGGTACGAGGTTGTTAAACTTTGTGCAAGCGCAATTGCATCAAAATTCTACCAATTTCATATGGAGTGACTCACAAGCAGTCTTGCAATGGATTACCTCCAGTAAGTCCATTGATAGATTCGTAGATAATAGACTAAAAGAAATACGCAAGTGCGACGCTCAATTTCGATATGTCCCAACCGACTGCAATCCAGCGGACATAGCAACCCGAGGAACTACACCGGGCGAATTGCAACTTAACGATTGTTGGTGGTCGGGACCGCAGTTCCTAAGAAAAAATGAAACGCTATGGCCACAGTGGCAACCCAAGATACAAGAAATCGTCGCAGTTGCTCACCAAAGTGAGGACATACGACAACCACTACTCCAAATAGAACGATTTAGTTCATACTACAAACTTCGACGAACAGTAGCTACTGTTCTACGATTCATCATACGTTTGAAAAGAGGGCGAACAGCAAACTTGATCCATCCATTCTGGAACGATGTCCAGATAGAAGGACCTATAAATAATAAGGAACTGAGTTTAGCGGAAGACATCCTTATCCGTCAAGAGCAACTTAAATACAAGGATAACATAACTATCAACCGGACAAATTTGAAGATATTCAAAGACGAAAACGATATCTCACGATGTCACGGTAGACTAGATTATTCAAAACTACCGAGGGACACAATAATGCCCATTTTCCTACCAAAACAGAGTCCGTTAACTTCACTCATAATTATGCAATGTCATAAAATTGCTGGTCACTCAGGCATGCCGCAAACGCTCTGTAAATTCAGGGAAAGATTTTGGACTCCTCACGGTAGATCAACAATTAACAGAATAATTAGGCGAAATTGTATGCTCTGCAAAAGGTGGAACGCCAAACCATTCCAATTACCGAGCTTCCCTCAATTGCCGGCATTCCGAACAATGAAATCCAGCGCCTTTCAAAATGTTGGTCTGGATTATATGGGCCCGCTGATGATAAAGGGTCCAACTGAGAAGGAAAAACGTTGGATATGTCTCTTTACCTGCTTAGCAACAAGAGCTATCCACCTTGAACCAGCCGAGAGTTTAACCGCAGAAATATTCTTGCATTGTCTGCGACGCTTCATCGCAAGAAATGGAACTCCGGAATGTATCATCTCGGACAACGCCACAAATTTTACACTGGCGAAAACGGTATGCGACAAAGCCATCGCTTCAAGTATCGAATGGAAATTCATAACGCCGTTTGCACCATGGCAAGGTGGAATATATGAAAGGCTGGTGGGTATCACAAAAGGCGCTTTGAAGAAAGCAATTGGGCGACAACTTCTCACCCAGCAACAATTCCGAACTCTCATCGCCGAAACGGAGGCAATAGTAAATGCACGACCAATAACATATGTTGACAACCAATCATGGGAAATCATTCGTCCTATCGATTTTATGCGCCCACAAGCTGATATCACTCCATCCGGCCTCACTTCTCAAAGTGACGACGAAACGTATAACCCAAATTCCAGGGACAAACTACTCGACAACTGGTACAAAACAGTAAACAACTTGAACAAATTCTGGAAAATATGGCACGAGCAATACATTCTCAGCCTACGTGAGAAATACGACGCTCACCACAAACAGCCGCATAATTTAACTTGTAGAGAACCACAGTTAAACGAGATAGCTGTACTTCTAGAAGACGAAACACCACGAGGCGAATGGAAATTGTGCCGAGTTGAAGCGATAAATCGAAACGAAAACGGTCAAGCTCACTCAGTGGACATTCGTATACCGAACGGTCATACTCTAAAAAGACCGATCAACAAAATCATGCCGCTTGAAATCACCAATGTAAAAGTCAACGAAGATAAAACCGATTTGGAGGAAAAGCTTCCAAATACTGTTGGTACAAATAAAAAACGACAGCATGCACATGCAGCCTTCTCGACACTCTGCTTATTAGCAATGCTCACTCTTGGTATCAACGCAGATCACTTTATCGTTAATACCTGCGTACGACAACCACACGGAGTCCTCATGAAATTACCAACCTTGCTCCAATGCAACGAACTCTTAAACGCTCCATACGTCGCTTCACAAACCGTCACCATTTATACGAGACAGTACCTCACAACGAATGGAACAAGCTGCTCAAAATTAACCAGAACAGTTTGTACAGATTCCTTCCTCAGATGGCACATGGCAGTCGTGCGAGATCAAACATTAATAACAAATACAAGTACTCACGCATGCTTCATGATGCAACAAACAAAGCAGTTTGAAGGCATTCCATTGAAGCCAGACGGACCAAATAAATGGTCCTCACGCCAACCAACTAAATATAGCTACGGTTGGTTCGGAACGAAATGTCAAGAAACAATAAATTATCGTATAGAAAAGGGCATTCTCAATTTTTACGATGGTATGACCCGACTAGAAGGTTGTGATAAAAGAAACGGTAAATGCATCACTCGAACGGAGACGCTCATTTGGAATCAGTCAGACATCTTTCAACAATGTCCATATCGTCAACTAGGTCTATTCAGCGCCAGAATATCCAAGAAATTTGTGACCGTCCCAAAACTACAAGAAATATTTGTTAGACAAATAACAACAAACAGAACCTCAGAAACGTTTAAATTATGTGGTATACATCAAGGTGAGGAACTAAAAAACGGTATGCTTATTGACTTGGGCCCTCCAAAAGGTTTAGTCAACACAAATGCTGCACACGAAAATCAGGAAGCATATCCCTTACTCGTGGAAAATGTCCCAGAGGAAACACGACGAAAAGGAAACGATGAGATGAACGCCAAGTTACAATTTCTACTATCTACTGTGGAACAATTCAACTCGGAAAACCAAAACGAAATAGATCGCAAATTATGTGAAAATCACAATCACATATTACGGATAATAAAATGGATCGGTCAACATGATCCGACAGCAGCAGCCAGAATGATTTTAAAAAGAGATGATGTCAAAGCTGAATTAATCGGCGATAATTTAAGAGTATACTCCTGTTTAAAGTTAAAGTTAACCACTAACGAAACAATCGTGGACGCCTACAATCAAGTTACGGAGATACACCCGGCACATAACATCTTATTCGACGCGCCGACAATAACAGATATAAATGAAGAAGAAATAATAAAAAATTTACAAATGCGAAACAAAAACTCTCAATGGAATCGTCAAGAAAGAAAACCAAAGATGAACGACATAACAGACGAAGTGGAAATCGTAATAAAGGACGTGGAATCGGTGATAGACAAAACGACGGATGTCATCGAAAACGAAATAAATGAGATAATGAAACACTGGCGGCTCATCAGCTCACTGATTATAATTACCTTAATTTGCATCATTCTGGCAGTAATAATCGCTCAGCTAAAGGGGTATATCAAATTATGCTCCCACTTTTCAAACAAAAAAGGTCTGGAAAAACGACATAACAAGGAGAACCAAAACAAAGAGATCCAGCTTGAAATGGCCTCTATGGTACCCGTAAGCAAAGAGATTAATCTTGTAATTAACTCTGTGGTACCTGCAGGCGTAAAAGCCACACAAACAACCAAACAGTTTGTGCCAGTCACCTGGGAGACCACCGCCGGCCCCCCACTGTCGCGATTACCAGATAATCGCGAAGAAGAGACACACTAAACAATT